AACACAGGTTTTTTCCTGCTACTGCTGAAAACAAACAGGCATTCAGTCGGCTGTTATCAACACCATTTAAGTGTTTCATGGCAGGACCTCTTAAAAGAGCTGCAAGCTTTGCAGCTAAAGTTGAGTCAGGAAGCCTCCCTTAGATGAGAGTGCTTGCTTGCTTCTAGCAAGCAGAGCAGACCCGAGATATTGCTGCTACTAAGAAAACATGCTTCACTCCATTCTTTCCCAAGCTTTCTCAAGCTTTCTGTGGATTCAGTTATCCCCACGTTGGGCACCATTCTGTAGTAGGAGCTGCGGGTTGCAATCTGCCACCTAGCTCCCGCCATCGGCTAGCATTACCCGAAATAACACCAAACAAACTGTATTCTTTTAAACACTGCTTGGCCCATTAAATCTAGCCCTTACAGGTTAATTCTCATATCCCAATCAACCCATGTCTAATAATCTATGTAGCATCAGTCTTACCGGGAAATATTCAGCATATCTGACCTGGCGGCTTGCTTCATTACATCTGCCTGGGAGAGGGGAGCATGGCCTCTGAGATCACTTCCTCTTCCTTGCAGCATTTTCTTCTGTTTACTCCTCCCACCTATGTTTTAACCTATCAGGGCCAAGCAGTTTCTTTATTACTTAACCAATGAAATCAACAGATTGATATATGACACTCCCACTTCAAGGGAAGGCTCTGCATCAGCAGCATTCATGGGCAGTACTTCTCTAGCTTCAGGTTCTGCTACACCCCCCTAGGTTCCTTTACAGAACTCTCCTGAGACTTGTATGATAAGACAACTAGCCTACCAATTCTGGTATGGTGTCTGTGGAGAGGGTCTTGGGGGAAGGGGGTGTGAGCAGCATCAAGAGATCATGGACATAAGTACTAGGCACTGGCAGCTGCAGCTGTGTGTGCCTAAGGAGCTAACATACCTGACGAAACAGATATGTCCAGGAAAAATAAGGAACCAGAAACTCGGAGGAAGGGAAGGGCTGGTTGGTAGTTACTACCTTTGCCCACCACCATGGGGCAGGCAGGTAAGGAAAGAACACTGTATAATCTCTCTCATTTTTAATTGTTATTCTGACCATCTTCCAGCATATTCTAATTTTGTAATTTTTCAGAGAGAACTGTTTAGAAGTGACCTCATCTTGTGAAAACATCAAAGGTTGTTTTTAAGGACCCTCTAGTGTTGTTATGCCATTGCTGGCGATATACATGGGAGGCCTGCCCTTTCCTGAAGGGAAAGGACAGGGGGAGGGGCCTGGGTTGAAGGTAGGCACTTGGAGGAGAAGAGGGAAGGAGAGGAAAATGTGGTCAGGCTGTGAAAAAAATAATAATTAATTGTTAAAAGAAAAAGAACCCCTAGTGGAGCCTGGGGAGATCACTTAGTGCTTAGAAGGACCTGATGGCACTCCTGAAGATGAGATCCCAACCCCTGGTTCTCACATGAGGGAAGGAGAGAATAGCTTCCCAGATTTCCCTCTTCATCCATATGTTCAGGTATGTCATGCTCACACAATAGTTAAAGTAAGTACGGTTCTAATAAGGAACTGGAGTTGAGAAACAGTAAGGGAATTGATTATATATGTGTTTGGTCAGGGCTTCTCAACCTGTGTGACCCTTTAATACACTTCCTCATGTTGTGACCCCCAACCATGAAATTACTCCATTTCTTCTTTATAACTGTCATTTTATACCATTTTGAATCATTATACCAATATCTGTATTTTTCAATGGTCTTCAACAGTCAACCTCTGTGAAAAGGCTTTTGGTCCCCGAAGGAGTCGTAGCCCACAGTTTGAGAACAGCAGCTGTCGGCCTCTCTAATATCAGCATCCTCATCCTCACTGCTCTGGTCCAGTATGACAGTACTGAGAAGAAACAGAAAAGGCAGCTAGGTGGAGGAAGATTTTTCTGTCTTTGCTGCTAGCTCCTGAATCACAACACTGAGAATTATTATTAATTATGAAACCCCAGCCAATAGCTTAGGCATGTTTCTAACTCGTGCTTACAACTTAACCCACTCCTTTTAATCTACCTTTTTGATGTGGCTCAATTGCCTGTGCATTGTAGTGCCCACGATGCCTCCTATGCATCTGCCTGGTGACTCGCATGTCTCTGCCCTTCTTCTTCTAGCATTCTCTCTCCCCTGAAAATCCTGCCCAGAGACTGGTCAATTAGATTTTTATTAAACCTGTGAGAGTGACATATGTCCACAGTGAAAATGATTGTTCCATAATAGGCAGGTGAAGTTGTAAAGAAATCCTGATGTTTCCTCATGCATAGTAGCAGAGAACAGGCCCACATAATAGGCTATGGACTTTGAGGAGAGGGAATAATTCGGATGGGAACAAAAAACTACACCAAAGTCAAGGAATCATCAATGGTCCTTGAGCAATTGTCCAGATTTCATGTCGCAGTTTACACATCTTTGTAAATGATAAGATGGACTGGAGAGATGGCTCTGTGGTTAATGTCTGCTCTTGCAGTAGACACAGGCTCATTCCCACCACTCACATGGTTACTTACAGTGATCTTTGGCTCCAGTTAGGCTCCAGGCCCAAGGGATTTGACACCCTCTTCTGATCTCCACAGACACAAGGCAGACACATGGCACACACACACACACACACACACACACACACACACACACACACAAAACACTCAGACACAGGAAAAGAAACAAGTCCTTAAAAGAAGGCGCTGGTGTTTATTCATTGATTTAGAACCAAGTGTAAGGAGATGGCCACTGTGAATGAGCATGGCTTACTCCATGTTGATAAAGGGAATCAACGGTGGAGGGAAGTTGGAATGCTGGCATCAGTCTGTCCTATAACAGAGGTCTGCATGCAGGGAAGACCCAGAGGATCGTTCTTCTGGAATACTACACATAGCAGACTTGTGAATCCCCATGACTGAATAGCACCAACGTGGCTCTTGCCCACATGTCACACTTCCTAGTAGAAGTCAGGGGTCTCAAGAGAATAAGTCAAAGGAAATGAATCTACTTGGACTTTAGAGTAACAAGGGCCAAGAGACAGCACTTGATCAGCAAAGGCAGGTGAGTTTTCAACAGAGGCATGGTCATGGTTACGGTGGACAGATGTGTGTAGACCTATTTACTGCACCTGCATCAGGTGTTTCCAGAAGTGAAACACATAGAAAGCTCACAATTAGCTTCAGTCTGTACATGTAGCTCTGCTTGAGAGCTATAAGGGTATATCCAGTGAACGGGTAAAGGCCAGTCTTGTCAGAGTGCCAAGGCATATTAGGGGATGGAGCAGCAAGCCTGGCTGAAGCCCTGACTAGTATCATGTAGCCAGGCATGAGAATGATGCCTTTACACACTCATCTTATGCATGGGGAGAATAAAACAGAGAGGTCAAGTGACGTTTCCAAAATCACACAACAAGCTGAGAAGGAAACACAGCAGGAGGCCTGTAAGAAACCCTGTATGAAAAGAATGTGGACTCTCAGAGAAGATGGCCGACACCAGGAGAACATGGCTAATTGAATCAACTAAGCATAGCTCACATGGGCTCACGGAGACCAAAACAGCAAGCATAGGACCTGCAAGGGTCTGTACTAGGTCCTCTGTGTGAATGTTGTGGCTGTTAGGTTGGTGTTCTTGATGGGCTCTTATGAGTGGAAAACTGTTTGACCTGCTTTTGTGAATGTTTTCCTATGGTTGGGCTGTCTTGTCCATCACCTGTATGACGGCTTTTGCCTAGTTTTACTATATCTTATTTTATTCTGTCTGGCTCTTCCCTCTTAGAGGCCTGCTCTTCTCTGAAGAGGAAATGGAGGATAGCTGATCTGGGGGACATGGGACGTCAAAGAGTTAGGGAGTAGAGGAAGGAGAATCTGTGGTCAGGATGTAGTGTATGAGAGAAGAATCTATTTTCAATAAAACATTTTCAATTTGGACTGCACCTGAAGCATGATACTGAAAGCTGCCCTTCCTCTCCACATCCATGAAGCATACATATACATGAACTCACACCAACAATTTGTATCCGTGCACACGACCATGTGACTACACATAAAAATGATGTCTCACATCCAATAATGTATTCAGTTTTCAAGTTGAGTTTTCTTTCAGGTGCCTTCCAGCTTTCCACTATTTATAGTGGTGTCTGCCACTCTAATATACCCCCTGCCTGAATGGTCTTCTGGCTTCTTTGGCATGACTAAAATTTCATGGAGTTCAGAGATTAAATAGCAGAGACTTGCTCCGCTGAAAAGGCCTCCCAGGAATTTTCTGTGTATCCTTTCTTCTGCACTTGCCCAATCTCCGTGGTGGACACTGTCCTGGAACATTTTTTTCTGTTCAGTCCCTTTTCTTGCCCTGAATTTTCAGTGGTGATTTAGAAGATTTATTTCTGTTAATCAAGAGAAAAAAGCAGGGACAGGCAGGCGACAAGGAAACTATGGGAACAATAGGATGCAGGAGGAAAAGAGAACAAGATTCCTAAAATCATGTCCCAGGCCACCTTCAGACCTGCAAAAGTCACCGTGAGGGACAGACAACACTGGCAATCCAGGGAAACTCGGGCAGGGTGATCTGCTGCCCAGGAAGCCCATGCCAAAGGGCAGAAGGAAAAATAGCTGGATGACAGTGAACAATAACTGAAGCTGTTGGGAAAAGGACCTCTATATCACTACTGGCAGTCACCCTACCATCTCTAAGCTCTTCTCCTTATAAAACAGGGTTCACTGCACTGGGATACACCACTAGTGCACAGAGCTCCCGTCCCACCTACGATGACACTGGAGACACAGCATATTTGCTGCCTCAGCTGTATCATTCTCTCTGCTTTGGCTTCTATTTCCTTCTGAACCCCTGGAACATGGGGGAGCGGGATTTTCTAAAAGTGAGATGAGGAAGGATGTAAACACTTAAGATCCTCTCCACCTTCTTCCTGACCCCTCAGCGCTGTTTTCTCCTCTCTCCAAGGAGATGGGGTAAGGACACTGAGAGAAGAGGTACCCATGGGAAAGTATGGGGCACACCCTCCCATGGATGATCACACCCCTGAACTGCAGCAGGACAAAGACAGGAAAACTAGGCTTTGGAGTTCAGCAACACTGGCAGCTTCTCTTCCTGTTCAGGCTTCCCATCCATGGAGTCAGAGGGGACGCCAAGGGCTCAGAATCACTAGAAGTGGGAAAAGGCGCTGGACATTCAGAACCCGGCCCAGCCCAGGTACAGGATCTTCATTTAGTTCCACTCACCTGTAAGTACAGTCTTTCGCTGGCAGGCTCTAATGGGGGCTGCAAAAGGAATAATGCAGAGAGGCATTTGTTCTCTGATGCTGTACCTGAGGATGTCACTGTTTGCTGTGTGGCTCAGGTAATGTGCCACATGACTGGGGAGGAAGGGCATGACTAAAACAGGAAACCTCCTGAGGCTGTCTGGTCTCCAAGCAGGAGATTTGTCTTTGCCCCTCTTGGACTTGTTGTAGCACATCTAGCCCTTCAGGGAGAGACAAATACCTCTGGCTTAGCTCTTAGGCCTGCTTCTGTGGGTGCCATGCAGTCAGCTGTCTTGCTCCAGGCCCACTGCAGGTTTCTCCATGGTTTGGCACTTCATGGGGCTGGCTTCTCTTGGAACTTCTGTATAGTCAAATTCATGCAGGCTTCTAGATTTCCAAGATCAAACCATTTCTGTGTTTCTATATACTAGGGTGTCACTGGGGTGTTCTTTGGGCAAACTGGTACAGGATAATGGTCCAGACGGGTCAGCTCTGTGTGGTTCTGAAGCCCAGATATCTCTATATACCCTCTCTAGTCTTCCCTACCCTGGAATGCACACACCTCAGGAGAATTCCATGTGTAACCTCGAGCTACAGAAGGAGCGGTTTTCCTATGGGTTCAGTTTGATGTTACAGAATGTTCTGGTCTCTGTGACAAGAGCAGGACATCTTTTCCAGGATGCTAAGCCCAATACAAGAGCAAGTCCTGAGGTAAAAAAAAATGGACATTTTTGTCCCGTCTGAGAATGTAAGTTTTCTCTTCACTCCAGAACTTACTGTGTTCCCAAAGCAGAAAACCTCTGTAAACAGAAACATGATTATCCAGCAGGTTTTCCACCAGGTCTTGGGGCCTGGGAGCAGATTCTAGGTATGGGTGTAATTTAGCTGTGGGAAACCTTTGTCCTAGATCTGTCCATTCCCCATGCATCTCCTGAGGTCCTTGCTGAGGAATAGATCCCATCACCCTCAGCACAGCAACTGATGTCCCTGAAGGTGAAAAGGACGCAGGGCACAAAAGGCTGTGGACAGCACAAGTGTTTCTACCTGTCTTGTGTGTGCTACCTGTGTGCATGCATATATGTATCAGTAGGGCTCGATGTGTTGTTTTTTTCTTTTGAAGCCCTCTTAAATCACAGATAAGTATCCACAGACTAATTCCAAGCGGGACAATTGTTTAAGCTCATTGTAAATCAAATAATTACATCATTTTTACAATTGTAGCTCCACTAGAGAACCATTAAGGTATATGTAAATTAGAGGTAAACACGAAATGCATGGTGTTGAGTCTGAGCCTTGGGATTTAGCCCAGGGTGACCTTGTACTCTAGGCCAACTGCCTCGGGTTCTCCAATGTGGTGCCGCTGGCACGTGCCAGTGTATACACAAGATCCTGTCTGATATGTATTCTCCATACAGTATTGGAGACATATTTACACTAAAAGAATTATGTAGGAGAATGGAATGGTGACTTAGTTTAAAAGAGTATTGGCAGTTCTTCAAGAAGAGCTGGGGTCAGCACTCACGTGGTGGCTAGCATCAATCTGTAACTTCACTTCCTGAGGGACACACCACCCTTTCTGACTTTCATAGGTACTACACACACAGATGGCATACATACATGTGCGCAGGCAAGGCGTTCATACACATAAAATAAACATGAAAGCAATATTTAAAAGAATTTCTTTTAGCAGCAAAAATTTGCCTCACTATCTAGCATGTCCTTTCAATGGCTTATTGTTTTTCACACTTCAACATTTCAGGAACAGAAAAATGCATTTTTTTTCTATCAACTAGATTCTTCTCAATCTCTCTGCAGTTTTAGGCACACAAAGTAACAACTGTCAATGTTTAAGTAAAATAAAGGTGCTCACTAAAATCAAAAGCAGACAGAACAAATGCAACGCAATCATTTGGGAAGAAATGGGCAGGGAAGAAGTCATATACATTCCCACCACCATCTTCTTCGTGAATTCTGCAGCCTGGAGGTAAAGGGGAATACACGCATACAGAGAGGGCACAGAATCATACAGAAAGGCCCCATGTCATTGAAACTCAAGGTTGAATTTTAACTGAAGAAAATCCAAAAATGGGAATACAAGAGGTGATGGAGGATGGTCATCTTTCTATCTGTTGTTTTCATTGGTTAACTAATAAAGAAAACTGCTTGGCCTGATATGACAGAAAATTAGGTAGGCAGATTACACAGAACAGAATGCTGGGAGAAAGAAGCTGAGTCAGGCAGTCACCATGATTCTCCCACTCCAGACAGATGCAGGTTAAGATCTTCCCTGGTAAGCCACCTCGTGAGCTACACAGATTATTAGAAATGGGTTAGATCAACATGTAAGAGCTAGCCAATAAGAGGCCGGAACTAATGGGGCAGGCATTGTTTAAAAGAATACAGTTTCCGTGTAATTATTTCGGGACAAAAGCTAGCCATGCTGGCGGCCGGGTGCCGGGTATGCAGCCCGCTGCTCCTCTTTACAACAAAGAGGGAGTACAGAATTTGTATAAACAAGTACTTAATCACAGGAAGCATCTCTACTCTGGGCAGCCCTGACCTCACCAGTCAGTTATCTGAGGAGATGTTTTCTTGAGGTGCCCTCAAGGTACCTGCATGTGCTGTGTGACAAGTCTTTTCCTGGGGTGGTGAAACACACTCATCTCATTACAGATAGAGAGCCCATGATAGAACAAAGTACGAATGCCACCAAAAACCAACTTGGTGGGCCAGTGGGTTTTACTGGGGTGCAGGGATATGAGAGAGGGTTTACTTACGGGAGCAGAAATGACTCAAAAATAATTGTATCACCAAAGCCCATACCAGCAGAGATGACAGACAGCTCACAGGAGCCTGGAAACCTGGAGCAATCTGCACAGCCCACGGGCAGTTCAACAGGTTGGACCTGTCCTCTCCAGGTGGCTCAGTTGATCAGACTGTCTAAACCCCTTCCAGGTAGCTAGCCTGGCCTTTGCTTCTTCTAGACACTTGGTCTGGTCTTAGTGTTGTTTGTCCCTTGTGTTCTCTGAGAGTTTTTTGTTGTTGTTGTCTTTCAAGATAGGGTTATTCTGTATCTTTGAAACCAGTCCTGGAGCTTGCTCTTGAACCAGGCTGGTCTCGAACTCTCAGAGATTCACCTGCCTCTCCCTGCCGAGTGCTGGAATTACAGAAAGGCATGTGCCATCGTGCCCAGCTCTCTGAGAGTCTTCTTAGCAATTGGGCTTTTGTTTCTCTGAGAGGGACTTTCTGCGTTCATTATTTGCTCTAGAAGGGATGGTGCTAGTGAATCTGGTCAGTTTGGGGGAGTTCTTGAAGTTATTTTGAGTTATCACCCTGCTTAAGGAGCTTCCAAACCTGTATGGTGGACTGTTTCAATCTCAGGAGTAACTGCTGCAAATTTAGGTTAGGTTGGGCCAGAAAGAAGGTTCAGGCCCGCATTGCCCTGAAACCACTGTGACTCTCACTGGACGGTCTCCTGTCTTGGACCCCTGTGTTAGCAGTGCTCAGTGCTCAGGAGATCACATTGAGCTGGGAGAACAGAGGAAAGATTTCATCTCAGTAAATCTGTGAGAGTCAAACTCTGAGCCCAACATCTAGGGAAAGAAGGATAGTGAGACACTGTCTGAAGCGGATTTGAGCTGGCCTAGATCAAATTGGAAGGAAGGTAACTTGCTGGAATTGTGATCTCTTGAATCCAGGCAAGCCCTATGCTTTGCTGCTGTGGGGTCTTGACAAAGCTTGGGGCTAGAGGCAGGTACTGCCCCTGTGGACATCAGAAACATCGAAACTTCCCAGTGTGGAGAGAAGCGGACAATATTCATTGGCTGATTTCTCCTCCACCGTGTAAATCCTGGGGATGAATTTCAGGTCTTCTGTCTTGGTGACAGGCACTTTGACCTTCTGGGATAGTTTGCTTTAATTATCATCTTTAGACAAAGTACCTGGGAAGGGAGTCTCAGTGAGAGATTATCTACACTGGATGATCTGAGGAGGGTTGTCTTGAGTTAGTTGTTATAGGAGGATCTGGCCCACATTGGAGACACCATCCCTTAGCTAGGGCATCTTGAACTGTATGCAACTGAATAAATTTCCGTCAGCGAAGCCAAGTAGTAAGCACAAATGAACTCCCCTCTCCACACCTGAATATGAAAGTAATGTGTCCAGCTATTTTACAATCCTGTTGCCTCAATTTCCTTGCTAGAATGGTCTGTGATGTGGAATTTTGAGCTGAAATTAAACAAAAGAATTGAATTACTTTCTGAACTTCCACAGCAGCCGTGACCCTGTCCAGATACATACATCAAAACCATGGTGCACTGGGCAACTGCTGATGGTGGCAGGAGCTGGAGGGATCCTGGTACACAAAGACCCATGGATGAAAATCTGTTGCCTAGAACTGTCAGTCTGGACCTTCTTTTTGAAAACTTATGTTATTTTTCATAATGTGTATGAGTCTGCACATGTATGCATGCAGGGGCCTGTATAGGCCAGAGGAGGGTGTCCTCTTCCCTGGAGCTGGAGTTACAGGAAGATGTGAGACAACGTAGGTTCTGAAAAAGATACCATGAAAGAGCATGATTGGTCCATATGTGTTGAAATAAGGCTGCTTGTATGTCTTCTGACTGCTCAGCCCAGAAATAATCATACAGAAACCATATTATTTGCAATGCTGTGTGGCCAATAGCCAGAGCATATTTGTGGCTAACTCATATCCTCATCTAACCCATCTCTATTAATCTGTGTATCACTCATGGCTTTGGATTAACAGCTAAAGTTCTGGAATCGCTCTCTGGAGGAGCTACAAAGCTTCTCTCTGGCTTTGCTCTTCTTTCTCCCAGCATTCAGTTTAGTTTTCCCCACCTAGCTCTGTTCCCAATAACTTGCTATAGGCCCATACAGTTCCTTTTTAACGACATAGAGAGCAGATTCCCACATCATCACATATTCGCTGTGCCATCTTTCTATGCCCTTATTCTGGGATTTGTTTGGCCCCAAGAGATGTGTGTTGGTTTGGAATGTTTTGTTGTGGGAATGTCAGTCATGGGATAAGAACACAGATCCCAATGGGGTCATCTCTTCATGTGTATATTAGACACAT